GGCAACTTTTGAAGACTTCCAGATTCGCCCACATGCCCTGAATGTGCATTCGTACCGCGCACCAGCGTTCTGTGACCACTGTGGTGAGATGCTGTTCGGGTTGGTGAGGCAGGGACTGAAGTGTGATGGTAAGATCACACTTATTTACTTTTTGGAGCACTACTTCCTGACTTCCAAACTGAAGCTGCCAACTGTGCTGGTTTCCTGGATTCATCATCCCTCCACCAGATGATAGTCTCCTCCCACATTAAATGGCACTCCCTTTCAATAGTTTGCCAGAGCAGGACGGGTACAACGTGGGTTTACATATAGAGTAAAGCTCCCTCTTCTTTTTAAACTGAAGGTAAAGCTTTCTCTACACTGTCCCAGGCAAAACTCCCAGCACAGGGTCAGCATAGGGTTAGGTAAAGAGTGAAGCTTTCTGTACATTGGCCCCAACTAAAAATCCCAGGACAGGGACATCATGGGGCTAGATACAGAGTAAAGGTGTCAATTCTTTTCATCTGTGGATAAAGTTTTTTGTACTCTTTTATTCTGAAAGTAACTATACAGTCCTCCTCAAACATTCCCAGGACAGGAATGGCATAGGATTAGATACAGAGTAAAGCTCCCTCTACGCTGTCCCCATCAAACACACCCAGGACAGGGACAGCATGGGGTTAGATGTAGAGTAAAGCTCATTCTACACTGTCCCCCATCAAACACTCCCAGGACAGGGACAGCACGGGGTTAGATAGAGAGTAAAGCTCCCCCTACACTCCCCATCAAACACTCCCAGGACAGGGGCAGTACAATTTTCTGTAATACAGATTCCTTTCTACAGAATTTCAAAAAGTTAAAAGGGAAAGAGTCGGAAATTCTGAACGTTTTGGTGAATGAGGTTCATGGTGTTATTGTTACCAGTATTTGAAAACTTTGGTACTAAAGTGAACAGGACGGCATGTAGTTTGAAGTTAGATTTATTTGTACACTGCGTGTGAAGGAGGGAGGAGCAGTTTTACTTTCATTTCTGAGTTCTGAGTGTGGTGCCGTGTTACCTGTGAATATGTTTTCATGCAGCCTTTATAAACTTTGACGTCAATAGTTCAGCGCAATAAGTAACAAAATTAGAGAAGATGAGAAAACTATTGCCATGATCCTAGGTAATGTAATTATTCCTGGACAGGTCAAAAACCAGACCAGAATCCAGCTTGCTCAATCCTGTTTTAATTTATTTTGAATAAGGTGGTCCGTCACTGGAATGTATGTACGCGATATTGCAGATTTTGTTTCAACAATTAAAAGAAGGTGTATTTTCCAAAAAATGAAGATATATTCTAATTACCTAAAAGATTTATAAAGCATGGACTTCATAAATCCCAAAATATTCCTTTACAGTTACCAAAAAAAAAATTCCCTGTGCAGTATTCTCACCAGAAGAAAAAGTAAATCTCTTTCTAACATCTTGGTAACAGTGATTTTAACTCCCAGACTAGGCATGCTGATAGCTGTTTCTGTGACCTATTATACACCTGAACTTATTCAGCTTCAAGTAATCTCTTCAGGCTTTTATCCCAACACTTCTGGTTAGGAGCTATCACTATTCCCATACCCTAAGAAAATCTTGTTTTACTATATCCTTTTCCCAGGAGCACCTCTCTATACAGCCATCCCCATTTGAGGCAAAGTGAACTTTAAAGAAAGTATCTCCCTCTAAACTGAGTGTTTTCCCCCAAGCTTAAAATAAACCCTAAATCTAGAAATTTCTAGCAATACGATTCACCTTGCTAAGTTGTAAAACATCCTAAGGTGAGCAAAACTCCATTTGTGCTTCCAAAGTAGATTTCAAACTATTATTCAGTGGTACAAATGAATTGGATTACAGAGTGGATCAGTGGTTAGCACTGCTGCCTCACGGCGCTAGGGACCTGGATTTGATTCTACCCTTGGGCGACTCTCTGTGTGGAGTTTGCACATTCTCCCCATGTCTGCGTGGGTTTTCTCCAGTTGCCTCCCACAGTCCAAAGATGTGCAGATTAGGGTGTATTGGCCATGCTAAATTGTCCTGCAGTGTCCAGGGATATGCAGGCTAGCTGGGTTAGCCATGGGAAATGCAGGGTTACGGGGATAGGGTAGGGGGGTGGGTCTGGGTGGGATGGTTAATGTGGACTTGATGGGCCGAATGGCCTGCTTCCACACTGTAGGGATTCTTTGATAATTCAGAGTTTTGGTCTACAAGAGGATCAAAGGTTATGGGGAGCAGGCAGCATAGTGTTAGAATTAGAATCACATTGTAGAAACAGGCCCTTCGGCCCAACAAGTCCACACCGACCTTGAAGCATCCCACCCAGACCCAAACCCCTCCAAACCTACCTAATCCACACATTCCTGAACACTATGGGCAATTCAGCGTGGCCAGTCCACTTAGCCTGCACATCTTTGGACTGTGTGAGGAAACCGGAGCACCCGGAGGAAACCCACGCAGACGCGGGGAGAACGTGCAAACTCCACACAGACAGAACATGACCAGACCTGTAATGAGCTTACTGAATGGCAGTTCAGATTCAAGGGGCTAAATGTCCTACGCCTTCTCTTTTTGTTGTGATTTTATTTAGATGCCCTATCTGAATGTTGACTGCCAGGCCAGTATCTGCTTGTACCAGTGGATGATTCAACCTCTGAGAACCATCTACCTTTGCTCTCTCCCGCCCTATTTTTACACATTTTAGGCCATTCACTTATGGGAATGAGGTGGTGTAGTGGTAACGTCTCTGGACTAGTAATGCCAAACCCCAGGTTAATGTTCTTGGAATGTGGGTTTGAATCCCACCGTGGCAGATAACGAGATCTGAATTTAATGCTAAGTTAGCCCAATGACAACCCAGTAAAACCGTTATCAGTTAACGTAAAAACACATCTAGGTCACTAATGTCCTTTAGGGAATATTGTATACAGCTCTGGTCCCCACTCTACCAGAAGGACGTAGAGGTTTTGGAGTGGGTACGGAAATGGTTTACCGGGATGTTGCTTGGTTTGGAGGGTATTAGCTCAGAGGAGAGATTGGACAAATTTGGTTTGTTTTCACTTGAATGTCAAAGGATGAGGGGTGGCCTGAAAGAAGTTTACAAAATTATGAGAGGCCTGTATAGAGTGGATAATTGGGATCTTTTTCCCAGGGTAGAATTGTCAATTACAAGGGGAAATGAGTTTAAGGTAAAAGGGGGTAAGTTTAAGGGAGATGTGAGAGGCAAGGTTTTGTTTTACAAAGAGGGTGGTAAGTGCCTGGAATGCACTGCCAGAGGAGGTGGTGGGGGCAGATACAATAGCAACATTTAAGTGGCGTTTTAACAGATTTACGAATAGGCAGGGAATAGAGAGATACAGACTGCATAGAGGCAAAAGGTTTAGTTTGGAAAGGCGCCATGTGTTGGCACAGATTTGATGGGCTGAAGGGCCTCTTCCATGCTGTACTATTTCTTTGTTCTTAGAGAGAAAATCTGCCTGGTTTGGCCTACATGTGATGCAGACCGACAGCGATGGGAGTCAGCTCTTAACTAGGGCAATAAATACTAGAAGTGATGCCCATGTTCCCATAAGCAAATTTAAAAAAAAAAATAAAAGCTGAAAGAACTGTAAATCGGGAACAAAACCAGAAGTTGCTGGAAAAGCTCAGCAGGTCTGGCAGCATCTGTGAAGGGAAAAAAGAGTTAACATTTCGGGTCCAGTGTTCTCAAGAAGGGTCACTGGACACGAAACGTTAACTCTGTTGTTCCCTTCACAGATGCTGCCAGACCTGC